TTGCGTGCCTCGACATATCGCACGCGTGTAGATGGCTCCTTGTTTCCAAGCCATTTCTTGAATGCTGCTTAGCTTTCCATGCCTCTCGAAATGCAGTATTCTTTTCATTTTTCAGTTGTCAGCAACAGCACTTTACCGATCCTTCATTATATTTAACGGAAATCACAATGCCTGATCTCAGTGCCTACGTTCGTCTCACGCGACTTTTCCACAACCTTCCATGTCTCTCGCTTAGCTCATCGTCTCATCTGAGCGGAGATCTTGCAATTTGGCCTTCTCATCGTCTTGGATATCAGTCCGTCTATCATGCATTATAGGCCGACCCGTGCACACACAAGGGGACTGGAATGCCATTTTTAGGTGCTTTTTGTTCCCTTAGATCTTGACAAATGGTTTTGTTTCTGTTCACGCTAGCCAGACGTCATGGATAGAGCGTCCATTTGCCTTTCACCTCGGCCGAATTGGGTTCCAGAACACGGTTCCGTGAGGCATAAAAAACGAAGAAAGAATTTCTTGGGACATTTGTCAGGGATTAATGATATTCACTGTGACTTCTCCCTCATGTCTTCAGTCTAAGCTTGTAATTCGACTGTTCTTCTCTTAGATGGAGCTATCTTGAAAGCTGTACTAAGCATTTCAGCTGGTAGCGAGTGTTGTTTGCTGACCGTACTGGGATGTATGGCATGCCTTCAGTGATATCCGTAGCTTAGTGGCAGTCCGCGAATGTCCACAAACTGTGCTGTTCCTCGCCCTGCCGTACCATCGTTTACTTAAAAGATTTTGCCAGTTATACGCGAGGGATACGCTGAGGTTGAATGTAACTCAGCGTGCAGATTTGTGGGAATAAGGAACAGAATGCAACCAGCTGTTATTTCTCTGGCTTGTTACAGTGTATGATGTTCTCGTTCAATGTAATGATTATATAAACGCATTAGGTATGATAAGTTCGATGTGTTAATGCAGGTGTTGACAATTCGAACGATCATAAAGATGTTATTTTATCCCATCTCATGCATAATTCGTCGAGCGTCGTTTCGGTTTGTTCCGTGACTCTTGCCAATAGTCATCGTTCTCTGTATGAAAGTTCTATGGCATTAAGTAAGAAAGTTTTAACCGTACTATTGCTGTGAATTAACATGAACGTGCCCTCTCCCAAACCTTTCGTTCAGGTTTATAGTCAGGGCATTATTCTCGCAGAAAACTGCCTCGAATGGCATATGGGACATTGGTTTAAAGTCAGAGCTAAAACGCTGTTAAACTGTATAGTAATTAGAATGTTGTCATTTTAATTACGTTCCTTGTGAAGAATGATTCGTGACATGAAATGCAAGTCATATTTTTAGATTTGAAGCGAGAAATCCAAATATGTCATACTCTGAAGCACCCATATATTATAGAGTTGTTCGAAACCTATCATTGCGATCGCTACCTTCATTCTGTGATGGAGTGGTAAGTGTACTTTAAGTTTTACTGTTATGTGGTTATTTTTACCTCGACGTCAAAGCAAGGTTGCTTTTAATTGTTACAGTAAAAGCATCTCCCAAATGTGAACTGTGTGAGTTTCTTTAAATTACTGTCTCGACTCATTTCTTGGTAGAACAGTCATTTTGATCAGTTCCGGCGAGGACAGTGGTAGACATGAAGTTTTCGTTGCACCGTAGGCGAATTTCTAGAAACCATGCTGTTATAGTAGCTTGGATGGCTTCTCACTATCAGAGAAGCAAGAAAGGAAAGTTGGCAGCATTTGGGATGTCATTGTCGCTTGTAGTTCCATGAGTGGTCGCCATGTGTGATACTCTTTTGTCACGTAGCTTATGGTACGGCGCTTTACTGTTG